GGGGGGGGGGGGGGGGGCCAGGAGAAAAATCTGCACTTCAGAAGACATTCGGGGAACCAGCTCAGTGACATACCTGATACAGAGGGTAACTAGAAAGGCAGTAACAAAGAAACTAGTTTAGTATTTAACCCTTCATTTGCTTTTCACTAAGGCTAGGCAACATTTTCCTTTAAAACAATTTAACAGAAAACTGTCTGGCCAAAACAATGGTGTTCAACCTCCAGCTCACAGAACGGCATCATTTAACCTGTGGGCCACCCCATGCGTCTGGAAATGTGGTGGTGGGGAAGCAGTGACAGTGTTAATTGCCATGCCCGTGCTGCCAAATTACTGGAGCTGTGGGAAACCCTGCGGGCCAGATGATGTGGTCCTTGCGTCTTAGATTGTGCTGGCATGTGGAGCCACTCTGCAGCCGTGTCCAACATGGAGGGTCAGGCCACGTGTGGGGCTGGGCTGGTGTGTCTGTGGACTGGACCCACACCACTCATCCCATGGGAGCAGGCAGATTGAACACCACTGGGCTAAAAGGAAACTTTCTGTATTTGCTTTCTCTAGGAAATTGAATATGTATGCCAAAAAACCAGAATGCCCAAACAAGAAAATATTCTTGCCCAAGCCCCAAGTGTTCTGAAATGCTACCAAACGATTAACTCAAACTCCCACCCTCATATTGGCTGGGCTCCCTAGTGAGGCATCAGAGATGCATTTCAGTAATGCAACTAATCTTCTCCTCCCTACTGATGAAGGCAAATGGTGGACAATATTGCATCATGGGAGATGTAGTCCATGTGGCTTTGGGAACTGGAGTATGAAGGAGCAAACTATACCTCTCATGTGTCATCAAAGCAGCATTTCAGAACTGAGATTTCTGAATTCAGCCCCAAAATTTCTAAATATTCCATGGGAGTGATAAACATTTGCTGACCAATTGCATACACTAAAAGCAATCTCCTGGAGAACCTATACAGCATGTACAGCAGCCTGAAACCGGCCAAGTATTCTTAAAACACAATCAAAAACTTCTTATTCCTGTTTAGTTGCTTGCTGTTTAAGATGCTAAAGATCTGAAAATATGGAACCAAGATCTCTGATCATTTTGGGAATGAATGCATGCTTTTTTCTCCAACATGGTCAGTCAGCATCTAAACATTAAACTGACATGAAAGGGCTTGCTGAACAGAAGGAAGCCTCAATAATAAGCAAACATGAGCAGGGCTCCTTATTAGATCTAGAAACTAAAGGAGACAGTGGTAACTATGGAGATGAACTTTAGTAATATGCAGAGGGAAGGAAGCAGGTACCCAATGCAGGAGCCCAATGCATGTGACTCTGCAGCTCTGGATTTTTCTGTAGAGCAGGAAAAAAACCCCTAAACCAGCGGTCAGCACTGTTTTCAGGCAGAGTGCCAAAAACACCGCAACCTTGACATGTAAGATGTTGGCATGCCAGGAGCAGACACCGGCGGAGTCATAAGGGGCCTGATACTTGTTGTGGCAGCACAGCCCAGGCCCCTTCCCTGCTGTCTGCCCCAAAGTGCAAGTGCCAAGCAAATGCCTTTGCGTGCCACACTCTGGCACCCGTGCTGGGAGCTACCCAACCCTGCCCTAAACACTGTTTCCTAGAACCAGAGATGTGGGGTGGAAAACCCACATCTGTGCCTAGAACAAATAAGACCACTTGGAATGATCATTTTTTTTAAATTAAAGTAGGAGAAGTCCCTGGTAATGAAATTTGTTTGTGACTCCACCCATTGCTACACAATTATGATGCAGAAACTAAGTTCTGTTTAAGAATTTCTTCTGGTCCTTAGGACCTGCAAGGAAAACTTTGCAAATATAAACCAATGCCTTGCTGTATTTCTAAATGTTACATGCGAGTGTTAATGCTAACACCCAATTCATTTAAATATAAACAGGTTTCTCTGCTGTTTCATCAGATATGCAAGAAATGCAGATAGTAACAGGAGGACAAGATTGTTGCTGCCTTGGCTGTTTGAGATTGTCTCCCACAATAATTTAAAGTAACATTTGCTCTTGCTCAGAGGGAGGAGGAATAACAGCCTCCTCTTCTTTGATCCACTTACTGTGAGAACCAGAAATCACAAGAACAATAAGAACCGACATACTGCATCAGACCAAAAGTCCATCTAGCCCGGTATCCTGTCCCCAACAGCTGCAAGCAGCAGGAACTTCAGAGGAAAGAGCATAAGATACATTATGTACAAAACATTCCATTTCATCACAGCCTTCCAGCTAGCAGCAATCCTAACTCCAGGGTTGTTCTGATCCAAAGATGATATCCCTGACTATTGTATTTAATAGGCTGTAACAGACTAATGCTTTCCATAAAATTTATCTAAACCCTTTCTGGATCTCATTATGTCAGTGGCTTCCTCAATGTCCTGTGGCAATGAGTTTCACAAGCATGTCGTATTAAAAAAAATAAAATAATTTGTATTTGTTTAAAACTTGCACTCAATTGAGTTGGGTGCCGCTTATTTCTCATGTCATGAGACAGAGCAAGCAATCAGACGTTCCTTATTCCCACACCATTCACAATTTTAGAGAGCTCTATCCCATCCCTGCTGAATGACCTCTTTTCCTAGCTAAGGCTTTGGAGTCTTTTCAGCCCCTCCTCATACTGAAGCTGTTCCTGCCGGTTCAAACTCTCTCCACCTGTTACGGTACCGCATGTTCTTCCACAGCCTCTGTCGAAGCGAGCAGCTGCTCATAAAAGGGATGCATCCCTGATTCTGTTATTCTACAAGGTGCACTGGCCTCCTTCAGATTCCCAGGACTAATTACCTCTCATTACCCTGCCACCAGTCTCCTGGATAACTTGATAATAAGGAAGCGCACAGGGCACTGATACCTGAAGATTTCTAGAATACCCTGCCACGAGTAGCACAGGGATGGTGCATTCACTGAGTTAATTCATTTTCATAGCAACAACAACAAGTCTTTTATGTTTCCTGAAACTGAAACCCAATTCCTGGCCAGTCACGGGCACGAGGTGACCTTGTAACAAAAATGAGGCCACAGGAGCTAGCAATAAATGGCAAACAGAAATCCCTTCTGCAAGGCTGTCCCTTCTGCAGAGGGCTGTGCCCCCCGCACACATGCAGGCGTGTACGTAATACCTAGCTATGCACATGTGTGTACACACGTATACACAGTGCACAAGTGTGCAGGTTCTCCTCACTTAATGTCATCCAGGTTAATGCTTCGTTATTACATCACTGATCTATTAGAGAACACACGCATTTAAAGTCACGCAACATTTAGTTATACCGTTGTTGGCCCGCTGCCGGCTAGCACACAGCTACTGTGACGCAACTGGATTTGTTTAACGTCATTTCACGTAAAGTTGCATTTTTCAAGAAGGTAACTACGACGTTAAGTGAGGAGTAGCTATATACATGTATACATCCACACACATATTCGCACGCGCACACATCCACCCACATGCATAAGGGCATACATCCATACACCTGTGCGCAGGCGTGCACACACCAGCATATGCATACACCTGCACACATACACATACACCCCCACCCACGTGTGTACAGTGCACGTATACACCCACACACACCACGCACGTATACATCCAGAAGCCCGCGTATGCATCCACACACACCAGGCACGTCCACCCACACGTGCGTGTACATCAGCACACTGCGTGCACATACAGGTATATACACACACACGGAGTATAATGCAGGGTCCGGCCCGGCTCCCGGGCACGGGGGCTGCCCCGCCGGACAGGGCGCGGGGGAAGGGCCAGGCCGAGCCACCGCCGCGGGACCCCGGGGAGCGGGACGAGACGCCATTTTGACTCCGCTGCGGGCG